GCCAGATATTTGGAAACATTGTAAGTGACAGAGTTAATCATGCTAACAATAGGTCTTAAAGGTACACCTTGTTTGTGGATTTTAGGTAAACCATACAGACTAGGTGTGGCCTCCCCTGGGTACAGTCTGTGGTACAGAAAACGGTCAATAGCCTTGTCCTGCTCCAAAATTTTCAGGCAATCTATCAATTTCTTCTTGTAACCACTTCCTGGATCTCTTTTCAGAGGTTCATAAGTGGTTAAGTCACTAAGGAGTGTTATAACTTTCTCATGATAGTCTTTCTGGTTCAAAATCACTGTGCACCTTCCTTTGTCTGCTGGGAGAATGATGATGTTTTTGTCCTTGCCAAGATTGGTGAGTGCGTCCCTCTCCTCTCTACTGATGTTGGAAGGTGGTGGTTTGGCATTGCTGAGGCAGGATGAAACTTTGATTCTGAGCTGTTCTGCTTCACACTCTTTCATTTTGTTGTTGCGGATGGCTGATTCTGTGGCTGTGATCATCTCCACCAGAGGAATTCTACTTGGTGCAACCGCAAAGTTCAGTCCCCTGGCAAGAATCTCTGTCTCCGGCTGGGTGAGCTGTCTGTCAGATAAATTCTTCACCCACTTTTCTGTCTCCCTGACATGTAATTGACTACTGGAGTGTTGTCCTACACTGAATGTGTTGTTATTGGAATAGTGATGGTGTTGATGAGTTATTAGTAAGTTAAACTTGTTTTGTTGTCGAGTCTTGGACTTGACATGCTGTGCTAAGCGTGCCTGATCTGTACAGTCCAACACTTGCTGAAGTGCGGTCTGATCTAGGCATGTTGTTAGTTTCTGTTTAATGTGCTCTTCTTTGGCCTTCAAGGCCTCAATAGTAAAATTGGTCTGTCTCACCCGTTCATTCAGCAGCTGTGTCTGTGCCTTCTGAAGGATCTTGCTTGCCCGGTGCCCGCTGACCGAAGATTTTAGTTCCAGGCTCTTGGGAATGATGCCGATTTGTCGACATCTGAGGTTGAATCGCAAATGGTTCCTGTAGTCTGCCCTCTTCCTTGCTGTTTTCTCAAACTCTCTAACTAGTTTGAGGCAATCCTGGCCAAAGTGGTTCAAAATATCCTGATGCATGCTCAATAATCCAGGTAGAAAAATCCAAAAAAGTTCAATCTGGTCCTCTGGACATTCAAAAAAACAAAAAAAAAAAAACTTGCCCTTTGGTGCCCTTTGGAGCACAAGTTAGGAGTCATCAGGACTCTGTATCACAGAGCAGACAGCATCCCCACTAGCTCAGGAGCCAGGCAGAAGGAGAAATCCCACACAAAAGGCTCTAGAGCAATGTGGATATCCTAACTGGGCCTTCCTGAAAGCAGAGAAGAAACCCAAACAGGACTCCAGTCAGCCAACAGGTGAAAAGGAGGAACCCAGACCAGTGGTCATTCCA